ACACACACACACACACACACACACACACACACACACACACACAAAGGATTATCACATGGACTCGTCTGTACTGCTGTTTCTCTCTTTTTCTTTTTTCCTTATTATAATAGAAAAGAACTGGCTTTGTCAGACCACAGTTAATTACAAATAATTCTCATGATGACATTTTATTTTTATAATTGTCTTTCTCTGGATGGTCGAACGCTAATCCCTTCCTYCTCTGTTCTGGGTAAAGTTGTGTGCACGTGCACACATCATCTTACGCCTTCATCATTTTTTGTGTGAAGTTTGCACGTCCTCAACTCGTWTTTAAATTTCTCTTTAGTGTAAGAGCCGTTAAACTTTTCACCCTCAGTGTACAGTTGTGTGGCTCAAACACCACCTACTTTCCATAAGATCATAAAGAGCTTCCCATGATGAGATAATTAGGTCTAAATGATTAGATAATTAGATAGAAATCTTACTTTACCAAGGGTGTGCAGAGTATCAGATTTCTTGTTGATTGCTGTTGCTAATTAACTGTGAATGTTGACGTCCTGGATGATTTTTACAGATTAATGTCTCCAAAAAGGATGAGACAAAAACTGTGAYGTGGCTTTTTCTCTAAATATTGACAGCATTTAACTTATTCAGTTCTGTGATAGTAAACACAGATGTTGTTGCTATTAAAGAGACAGTTCATGCATTTTGAAGTGGGCTTCTGTAGGAAGACTGAACAATCAATATCTCACCTGTTGTGGATAGTTCTTTAAATGATCTCAGTTTGAAAAAAAATATGACCAGACTGAAAACAAATCAGCTGATCAGAAACGGACCAGAACCAAAGTGGATTCTGCCTTTTTCCCAGTTTTAATCTACAGTGATTGGTTCATCTTTACATCAGTTTCATTGTACATAGTTAAGATATCCTGAATTTTTGTAGGAAGAATGATAAATGTGAATGTGACATCGAGGGAAAGGCTTTTAAAATGGTTTTCACAYGATCTGTTTATAGGTTGTTTTAATCCACTTTGGTTGTGACTGTAATGGGAATAACAATTAGTTAAATTTAAACCGACGCTCAAAAATCTTCGTCACACAAAACGTTTTATTTGTTGCAATCCTTTCCACCTCTAAAAGTTTGTCATTATCTGATTTAGACTTTGAGAAAAAAGCTTTTATGTCCATCCTCACAAAATTACCTCCAGATATTTGTACATGTCAAGTTGTGCAGATTGTTTGTAAATGACCCCATTTTGCAGGTAACAAGTTGTATGGGGCAATCTTACAGATTTTTCAAAAACTTTGTTTGAAATTTATTTTAAGTCTCAGAGCTGGCAGGCTGTAAAGAAATGAGTTCCCCACCTCCTCGTCCTGCCTCTACAAACCCACTTCTATCATGTGAGACCACTACAGATTTTTTGCAAAAATTACAGGTAAATGTCTAAACGGGTTAACATGTATAGATATTAAACATCTTGGTTCGGTTGTTTTGTCTTTTTTCATCAATAATCTGTTTCTCAGATTATTCCAAACTACACAGAATGACTTTTCTTCAAGTCTCAAACAGGTCAGCTGTTCAAATTCTAATAGATTTATGACCTCAAAACACCAGGATGTGTTAAATCACCTCATACCATGAAAGTGCCTTCGCCTGGTTATGTTTTTTCTTCATTTTTTATTTATTTTTTTTCCAATGGTAGCTCCTTCCTCTGGCCTCAGATGAACCAGCGATCACTTTAACACCCACCGATGACAGCGGGTGTTTTTTGATTAGTTGGTACAGTGTRCCGCAGGGATAAAATGTAAGTTTCATTATCATTTTATATTTTTATTTTTAGGATAAACATTTATAATTTATTTGAGACATTTTTTCTATAATAAAAAAACAATACATTTTAGGGCAGAGTGCTATTGATCCTGTCTCTGAGACTTTTCAGTGGTCAGGTAATATTTCCTCTRCTTCATTAAGTGTCCAGTCAGCACATATACAGCAGAAAACTGTTTATTAGCGTCTTTAAAAAAGAAGCAAGAATTTCCTCTCAGGAGTTCTTTTGGAAAACTGTCCTTAAAATCAATATTGCGAGGAAGAACGTTTTTCCATGAACTGGCTTAGCGAGTACTTAATTTCAGCGCAGTAATTAAGGGTCCATTTGGAGTGGCACCTCTGTGGCCTCTGCTGCCTCGGAGGAATGAAACTTTTCTAGTTAAATTTTACGAGTACAGCTGGTTGAGCTGTAAGTAGCATAATCAGAGCTGATTGGTCAGTAACCTACAGGTCRCTGGGGTGGGATGAGCATGTGGAGGTCCTTCACACTGAAAGCTCTTTGGAGCAAGTTGGACAAAATGAACTCGGCTTTAAAGGCTTCCTATTTTAACAGACTTTGTAACTGTTTACAAGAAAAATACGGAAGACTTCAACCAGCTTTAAACAATATATGGTTCATTTTTTTAATTGATTTTTTATTTTCCATTTCAAAATAAAATACTAAAAGAGGAACCATCCAAGTTTTCTTAATCCTAAATAAAATAGACAGTTTTAATATGTAGCGATAACGGAAATGACAAAAGTCGACAAAGAAGAAGAGTTTATTGTGGCTGGAAGACTGCTTAGAAACAAACAAACAAAAAAAAAACATTTCTAAAAGTGTTGGCAATCGCTGCACTTGAATTTTCTGCAGAACTTAAAATATTAAAGCAACTCTGTTCACAGTAAGATCATCAGCTCTCAATGAGACACATCAACTCCCTCTAAATTAGAAACATACCGTTAGCCTCATAGCACATGTGTCAAACACAAGGCCTGCGGGCCACATTTGGCCACGTTTTAATAATAAAACGTCTTGCCCCTGAGGTGTGGCCTGACTCCCGTGTGGCCTGCCAGAGGTATATGCCCAAATCATTTGTGACCAAATATTTCTTGGGCAATCATGCTGCGAGGCTAACGATATCCATGGTGAGAAGTGAAAACGGAATGTGCCGTGTGTTTAGGACAGGATTTCCATTTTTGTCAGAAAGTAACATAAAGAAAAGTGCGCTATTACTGTCTGTAACATACAGAAAGTAACAAAATATAATGGTTGTCTTTGCTTCAAACATTAAAATAAAAAAAAATAAAACCAAAAAATATATTTTGCAATTTTGCAATTGTCATTTTTCTAATTTAGTTTTAAAACAAACAAAAAAGTTTAAAAAAAAAAACACCCTGAAGGAAACTTTATTCTGTTTAACAGATTTTTTGATGCACTACACGTACACGAACTAGGCCATTTTATGATACTTCTAGTTGCATAATTATTAAACTGTGAAAAACTGATGAGCAATCTGATTTGAACGACTCATGTCTTCTCAAACAGAATGCACTTTTACATGATGCCTTAGTTAACGCACACATATCACCAGACAACAGACTAGCACATAGTTATTTTCTCATCAGATTGTAGATTATTGTAGATTATTGTAAAAAGAGTCTGGTCCCAGGGTAGAGAAGGCCCTCCCAATCTTTGTGACGTCTTGCCCCTGAGGTGTGGCCAGATCCGGAGGAAAATTGATGAAATGTGTTGATTTGTTTTGACTCGTGGCCAAAATCCTATGTCTGGACCAGCTGTTGGTAGGGAATGGCTTTATTTCTTGCAATTAAACATTCAAGTCTAATTCTGTATTTATGTCCTGGTTCTCAACTTGCACCAAARTAAAGGAACACGYTATCTGTCAACTCGATTATTTGCTTTTTTTCTCATTTTATTTTGAAACAGAAAAACCAAAGAACAAAACGTACACACATGGACTTTTCCTCATATTCCTGATTCTGTTGTTTCGATATTTCTTTAAAAGTTTCAAATCACTCCCCACGTCATTTTCCAGGTATTCTCAGTTATACCGACAAGAGGAACACGTGTTTGAATGACAGAATGAAGTGTCTGAATGCTGTCGCTGTCTCGTCCCACAGTGTATTCTGGGATCTGTACTGCGCCGCCCCGGACCGGAGGGAGACGTGCGAACATTCCAGCGAGGCCAAGGCCTTCCACGACTACGTGAGTGAACTTAACCAATCCTGCTGCAGAGCTCAAGCATGTCCGACATTTAAATATGCTGATGTATGCGCAGAGCGTGGCTCAGGAGGAAGCGTCTGTTTGGGGTGCGGGATAATGCTGCTGGTTCTTGTTTGTGTTGGTTTGCTGCAGATTCTGTGTCAGACTGATTAGACTGTGATACAGGTGTCTGATCCATATGTTTTACTGGGAAACCTTTAGACTCATCTTCAGGTCAGTCTGGAAGATTTCATCTTCAGATTTGAAACAGAAGTGTAACGCTGTGTCTCAGCTGTTGGCTGAGCTGAAACTCTGACCCTCTCAGCGACTCTCCCTTTTTTTTTTACCAGAGGTGAAAGGTCAGGGCAGCGCTTGCCTACTTAYCGGTCCACTTATGGCTTCAGTAAAGGTCGAATCACACGAAGCAGCTGGCTGATCACACTCGCACATTAACACACATATGTGTGTATACAGAGGGGACACATTTAGAGCCTGCCGGGGCTGCACGGTTTGGACTTGGTGCTGAAAAGGTCAGGGTCAGCGACCTCTKCCTGACCCTCTCATCTTCCGGAGAGTCAGACCAGTCGATCAGTAACCAATTTCACACACCCAGCTGCAAGTCGGACATCTTTTCTATGTGATTCTCAGGTCTGTGTTCTTGTCTTGTCTGTCAACACTGTGCTAAATATTTGCTCGGTGTTGCCCAGTTTCTGTTTGATAAAGGATTACAAARATGCGTGAATGTTGACCGGACAAACTGCTTTAGCAGAAACATCATCATTCTGCCTGAACAGAAGGTAAACGCGGTGGATTAAAGGTGATTTTCGTACCACGTGCGCTTCATTTGGGCCGTTTTAGCTCATAGCCCCTCTCAGCTGAACTCTCTCGTGAGGTTTGACAGACAAAAAAAAAAAARAAAAAAAAAGAAAAAGTGAGCACTTGTCAGCTGAATAGATGTTCTGTGTTCTGATGAGTGTGCCTCCACGCCCGCCTGCGTGCCTACATGTGTTGGACCACCATAAGATTAATTACATGGTTAATTAAACCTAGTAGTTAATTAAATCTGACAACTGTGTCTAATTATTCGAAATGCCATATGATTTCCTACACCTTTGTGCAGAGGTAGGCCTGCTGGATACCTGCGTGTCTGCTCTTTAATGCCTGCTGTTTGACGGCGCTGGTCACTGTGTGGCTAAAGCTTCTGATTCAAGTGCTGGTTAAGATGCTTTACACGTGTTTCAGTCCTGGGCGACATAAATTAGCCAGATGAGTCACATTCACTTCTCTTTCCTTAAGTTTTCTCTGTTTGTTGTAGACAAAATGGTTCAATCAGCTTGTTTTTCAGACAAACACACAGCTAATCGAGCGTGTGTTGTCTGATTCCCATCTTTGCTTTAAAAAGGTTGGAGCGCCTGAYATGATGTGTGTAACTTTTAGACTTTTTTGTGCCCTCCTTTTTGCTTTAGATCATGTGTCAAACTTAAGGCTCGTGGGCCAAATCTGGTCCTCGTTAACATTGTGTCCAGCCCCAAAGGTGAAATAGTGTTATGGTTTTTCTTTTTGTTTCTGTATTTAACACATTTTTTCCTCATAAAAGCTCTTCAACTTTTAAGCCAAAATAATTCAGTGTTAATTTTTTGGTAACCTTTGATTTGGATGTGGAAAGAGCAACAGAGAATCAACATTAATTATTTATTTTTGTTATTTTTCATTTTCTTTTCTTACTTTAATGTGACTTAATTGGATTCTTAGTGAAGAGTTTTGTTTTTACCTGATTTGCTGTATTGTGATCAAATGTTTCTCTAAGGACAAATACATGAAAATGTTTTTGATAGATAGTAAGACATACGAAATTAATGATAAGTCTTTCTAAATTTTATCTTTTTTATCTGTTAGGTTATGTTTTTGTAAATGCTACATCATAAATAATTTGTAGGAAGTCATTTGTATTTCTTTAATAAATTGTTTTTTTTTTTTCAATTAATATTGAGAGAAATTGGCTCTTGGCTTGGACCAAGTTTTGAATTTTGACTTCCTTGTGTAACTGAGTTTGACATCCATGTTTTAGAATGAAGCCTTGAAGGAAAATGCATTAAAAGCTTCCAGTTATCTTTAACACTTGTATGTTTGTGGGAGAAAAAAGTTAGAGGTATTATATAATTTGTTACTATTTTTTATTTATTTAAGAGAATAAAGTCTTAATATTTCCCGAACAAGGTGATAATAGTATGTTTTCCATTCCTGTGTCGACTCTGACCTGCTGTAGAAAGCCTCGCTGTGTTTATGAAGTAGCCCAAATACATTTGGGTCTCTGTTAGTGTGTTTCAATCTACGTTATGTGACGACTAAATCCATCAATGCAGTCATTAACTGCAATGCAATACGGCTTAACTTTATCATATGAATCCATAGAGCTAAATAACAAAATGTAACGTCACAAAATGTTCAGTATTTCTTATTTTAACGTAGTGCTTTTTCATKTTGGAGCTCTCATAGTATTATAACTTTATTCTTGCAACTATCCACCTTTGTTCTCGTACAATGTTTCTCTTGTAACATTATGAATTTATTCTCTTAAAAAAATATCTTGTATTGTGTGGCTCTAATACTCTGTTATAGTTTTTAAAGAGATGCACTTTTCTGTTTTATATTCATTTATTTTTTCACTAGTCCATTTTCTTTTCTAGATAAATTTTATTTTTTTAACAATGTAGTGTACTGGACCCCGCTGTGGGTCATGAAACATCAAGTGAGGGAAGCGAAGAAGTCTAAATCCATAGCCTTAGTGCGGCAACTTGCAGTATTTTAGATTTAGATTTGTAGGTGTTTTATTGTAAATATAAATGTAATATTTTGAATGCTGTCAGGTATCGTTTCTTGAAAAGTTGAAATCAAAAAAGTGCAGTTGATACGTTATGTTTTTTTTTTAATTTTTACACAAGTACTGTACCAGAAAATTAGACTACTGTATTATTTTTCAAATGAATGTTGCTATACTACCTCATTTGTGTTGGATTTTAAAGGATGGGTCAATAACGACTGGCGTAATTTTTTTATCATCTTTCAGAGTTGCTTTTTCACTAGATCCTAATTATTTTACTAARTTGTTCTGTTGTTTGCTTTGAATCCTTGCTGGTTTTCAGATGTCAAGATTAATCTGAAATTAGGTTTGAAAGTAAGAAACCACAAAGGCTGTTCCAAAGTTTCTGATCACAGTAAAGATGAAGAGAAGGTGTGAGTGGGCTCCTCTGGTTTTCTGAGTGTTTTCGTGTCATTGTGTGACAGAAAGTCAAAGAGAGAGAGACCGTCAGGGTCGGAGCGTATGAATCCCCGGGGTAATGAGGGGTCTGTTGGTCTCTGATTAACTCCAGCTCGTCAGTCCCYGCAGACCAGGGGCCTGAACTAGTCTCTATCACGGCCCCCTTGCTGATAACGAATCCCTTGTTCCCCCGAGTGCGCCTGGATTACAGAGTGAAAAACAACACAGCTCCCARTAGTTGCTCAAGCTTCTCTCTGTGTCACTCAACAGGAATACCAAAAAAAAGGGAAAAAAAGCAACGTATGTGAGATAAACCAAGATGGGCTCTTCTTTATTCATGTCTTCTTAATTGTGTTTATTGTCTCCACTGGCAGCGGTGCAGCCACTTTGTTGTGGATAACAATAAGAAAATATCAGCACCGTGCTTTAAAACTGATGCACAGAAATGCAGTTTGCTTGTTTGTTTCCTGAAACTAATTGGGTCGCCAGGCAACACCGAGCCAGAGGACATTAGTTACAGATTTGGACTCGGCCATGTCAGTTTGGCTGCTTCCTCCGGCAGCCCTGTTCTGCTGACTCTCAGTAATGTAGACTTTGTGAACTCTTCCGTATTGGGGAAGATAATGGAATATAATGTGCTAATCCTCAGATCTGGGGATGAGTTGACAGCTAATCCAGGGCGATGTGGAGTCGGAGGTCCTGGACACGCTCCCAGAGCTGGAGGCCTCTGACTGTCTGCGGTCTTAGACACTTGAGGTTCCACATAAAGACTTCTTGCATGGAGCAACGCTTACATCGCGCACCCACAATCTCATGCAGATGAAAACACGCTCAATGAAACTTAGACCAGACTGTATTGTAAAGAGCCCGGAGTCTTGTGCTTCTGTAAAGTGAATTAAGTCTCCTTTCTGCTCCTAATTGTTGGATTTATATTCTTGCCTTCCTCTTCACATTGCCTTTTAATCATGTTTATTTCCTAAAAGAGACCTGCTCGTCTTTACGCTCCCTTTTTTTAATGTCTGCTGGAATTTGGATGTTTCTTGAAAATAAGCACTTTGTTGAGGAAATGTGTTTGATTAAAAGACCACGGCACGTCTTTAGTAATGCAATACGAGTGATTAAAGCACATAAGCCTCGTGATGAAGACAGCGATTACTCACACAGACCCGCATATTGTTGCTCACATTAAAGCTGGCAGAAGAATGAGTCTCTGTTTTTCTCCTCCTCTGACACACACACGAGCGGTTTCAGTCCCAGACAAACAGTCTTTCAGGACGGGATAGACTCAGCAGACATTTTGCTTCGCCCCAGCCAAAGGTCACAACCCCAAACATCTGCGGCTCATGCCAGCCTGGGTTCAGCGCCCGAGGAGAGCCACAGATTTAGAGCCACAAGTGTGTCGTTCACATGACAGGGCTTCAGCTGAACACAGAATCATGACTGATCTGAAGTCTTACATATGTATTATACATTATGCAGAAGGACCATTAGTCAGATGTTTAAACCTGTCATATTTTAAAGATTTACACTTGTTCCCTATGGTTTAACAACTTTTTATGATGAATATATAACGAAAGGTAACTTGTAGGTTTGGCTTCTTGGAATATTTCCTGACAGTTTTTTTCTAAATGATACATAAAGTTTTTACAGGCGCTTATTGTTAATTGTAGGATATTTTATAGATTTTTATTGGGTCTTAAATGCTCTTCACATATATAGTACATATTTAGAATATTTTTAGAAT